GACGATGATGAGAAAGGGGGCAGCTTCGTGGAAGGTCTGGGAACCCACGCGGAAGTTGTCCCTCTTCCCTCCGTCCTTTGCTATTCCGATGGCACCGCTGTTCACGAAGGCCATGCAAAAAATGCTTCTTTTTATGCCAACTCTTCAACTCTGTATTACCAAATAGATAGCCACCTTCCCGGAACCCCCAACCAGCTCTCTGAGACCTATTCCGACAGAGAGACTGTCAAAAACGGGGCCCTCTCGCTGGTGCCTTACACCATGACCCCGGAGCAATTTGTTGACTATGCCCGCCAAGCAGAGGAGGCCTACGGCCCTGCCCACTACCCAGCCGCCAACCCCTCTGTCATCGTCTGCTGCTCCTCCTCAGAGAGCGACAGCGGTGTGCCCTGCGGTAGCTTGTATCCGGAACACAGGTCCAACCATCCTCAAGTGGAATTTCACTCCTACTTGAAAGGCCCCTCCCAGGAAGGCTTTGTCTCTGCGTTGAATGGTGACAGTTGCATTTCAGAGCATCCTGCTGAAAATTCTCTGAGCCTCGCAGAAAAGAGCAGACTGCACGAAGAGTGCATCAAATCACCGGTGGTTGAGAGTGTCCCTGTTTAGTAGCGTAAGTTATTTCCAGACCACCTCTTCTCCTATTTAAAGCACCGTATTTAATTGGATTTCCTGGGCTCTTGGTTGTTAGAAACTGAGGACCAAGAGAATTTGGACCGTGGTGAATCTTCCAGACTGTATTTTGTTTTATCCTTTCTAGCTACGTGACTGTGGCATTGCACAAATACAGTGTCTGAGGATTTTAAAAGATGTCCGACTGTTTTGATAGAAAAATGCTAATTTTAAAAAAGCATATCTCACAGTTGCCTACCTGTCAAGCTGTGTGAAACCTGCCAAGCTGTGTAGATCAGATCTCCAAGTTTTGGATTATCGGGCCTGTGCAAGATTGTTGACTAAGACTGGGAAATAATAAGAAGAGAATCCTAATTTTCGATATTTAATTGAAGATGATGGTGACTTTTTAATGTAAAAGTAATTATTGTAAGCAAAAGATTTAACCGTTCCATGTGTATTTTATTTATGGTAGTTAGAAGTCATGTTTTGATTAAAATGAACAGCAGCATGTTCTTTTAAGCTGAAGATGCATAGTTAGTACCACCAAGCATGCCCACATGGATTGCATCTGGAATCCATTCGCGTTTTTATGATCATGACTGATCAGATTTGCAAATACTTTCTTAAGGGTGAAATAGGCCTATTTTTGCTATTTTGGACAAATAAATGAGTCTATACGTGCAGGTCCTTACACAGTTTCCTCTAAAGTTAAGACTTAGGACAATCCTCTGGTGAGGGTCTAATTCACTACCCTCCCTCAGTTGACTCCAGAGATGGAGGTGGAAGGAATGGCCTTTCATTTTTAAACAGCATCATCTTGGTTCTTAGCTGGGACAGCACCTTTAAACTCTACTCCCCTACATCGAGATGCACTTTAGTGCCCCTTTATGGTACCTTGTGAGGGGTGGGGACTGAGAACTCTTTGAGATGAAAAATTTTAAAGAAATTTTTTTAAGACTGTAACTATTAGAAGGTTCATATAATTAATGTAGAGGGGTCATCCAATGATACTTTATAAAGAAAAAAATGACCTATTCTCCTTTGCCACTCTGAAGGCCTAACTCGGTTAAAGCAGAGGAGGCTGAGGACACGTGGAAGAGACACATCCTCAGCAACCAGCCTTTCTACAGCGTGATCAATCTATCTCTGCAAAATGAGTGTATGATGAGATTTCTACTTAGTGACTAGCTGATTAAGGGGGGGCCTCTTTCCAAACACTCAGCTAGGCCTTACTCACAAGAAGCATTTTGATTTCTCTTGCCCGGGACAATTAGCAGAACAGTCCAGAATGCATTGAATACTTCCTAATTACCTCATGTTCTCTTGTTAAAGGGGACAGATAGAAATAAAACATGCACTCCCCACCTTTAGATTATCTGCGCTCGGAGGACTTCTAAGATCCCAATTTTCCTGTAAATTAGGTAACTAGATAGTGTGCTCTGCCGTTTTTTCCTTTTTCCAATGCAATATGACTATGCTAACTCTGTTTCATATTTTTGACTTTCTATTGTTATATCATTTCACATTTTCTGCCTTTTTTGAAATGTTGACATGCCTTTGCAATTCAGTGACTGTATTCACTAGTTAATTTTTATGTCTTTTAGACTTGGATATTTAGAGATATGGATATGAATGTAGTGTAGATCTCTATTCCTTAAAAAACTCTTTTATTTAATTGAACTTAAAAATGCTTGATCTAGAGAAAGTCCTCCAATGGAAGAGTTTCTACTAAAACTTGATTTGGGGAAAAACATGTTTACTTGGCAGCTGTTTCACTGTGCAGTTGGTTCCTGCTCTGTCTCTACCCCACCGCTGGGCCAAATTTATAACATTATAAATGTTAACATTAAAGGAGCTTTGCATTTGTCCTTCTGGAGGGAGCAGTAATGAGGACGGGAAGGTTCCTTTTGAATGATAAGCCTTTGGGCTAATCAGACTGGGGTGTTGCTCAAATGTTGTTAGTATAGCCCATGTTGTCTACAAAGTTACAGTTTTTAGTATTTGATCTCCAAATTTTTCTCCTTACCAATACAATCTAAAGAGCACAGGCCCAGAGAGAAAATGAGCAGAGGCCATTGTTCCCTCATTCAAGCACGTGAAGGAATCATAGACCCGTGTTTGCTGGACTGGAATGCAGAGTGCGGCAGAGTAAGGGAGAGAGGACTCCAGCTGCGGCAGAGTTGGAGGGTGGAATGTCAGTCAAAGTTCTAAAAGGATAGATATTTCATTTAATTCAGCTTTATATTCACAAGAAGGTTGATGCCTACTTGTTTTGGTTTGGCTGGGTCTCTGTTTTGCAGTTTCATGTCCAAAAGGATGCTTATACTAGAAAATAGATTAAAAAAATAACCCAGAGCTTTCCGCCCCATCTGTCCAGTAGGGGTTGGAAGTCACTGCTACACAGATGGATTAACCTTCCATCCGTGGCAGCTTTCAGTCCAAATTTTCCCATACAGAACCCAGCCCCTAAACACACACACACGAAACTGATGTATATCACACACTGGAGAGTGACAAATTTTAGGCAATGGTCAAAAATGAGTACTGAATGTTTCTCCCTGGAAGCTGGTTGGGCCTTAACAATCTAAAAATGTAATCTAGGAGAGAGGATACTGTTTAAAGCTGTAGTTTGAAAAATATTGGGTCAAAGTTACAGATAATACAAATGGCAGGATCATTTCATTTTTACTTCCTTTTCCAGAAAGACTGAGAGAGCACAGTGTTCCATCTGACCTGTTTTTTTCTTTTCCCCCATAAATAGCCCTCTAGTCCACAAAAGCTGCCCACATGCCAGGAAAGCACTACAGTTTTTCTAAGGTTTTTAAAATGGGGATCAAACTAGATGCATCTGGTTGGGATACTTAAGATCCTTATTCCAAGACATAATAACCTGACCCGCAGCTGTTGTATTGCCCGCATAGTATGTCTAACAAAATTATAGTCCTGTATGACACACAGCTTTTTAGTCATTCACTGTCAATGGCAAAGCTGCTCTGCTTGGGTCCCTGTTGTTTTAGCACCAGCCCTATACCTTTTATTAGGCTTAATTCCCAGTTCTAATCCAGGCCAAATTGATTTCCAAGTCAAGTGGCTGGATCAGCTTGCAGTCCTTCTATCATTCCAGGTTTCCTCTGAGAGAAAGAAGTCAATGCACAAGATTTACTTGAGCTTTTCCCCCATCTCTTGATCAGTGATTATGAAGACATCAGTAAAATCCATTTGTCTCATATCTTTTGGTTAATTGGATAATATAGTTACTTTTTGAAAAAGAATCCTTTCTTTGTGATGAAACTATACTTTTTGCAGTGTACCAGCCACATATAAAATGTGAAAATAATGTTTATTAGAGTGATAAAATCTTCACAAACTTAGGGCCCCCAATACCGCTTCCCTCCAAAAAATTATGAGTCACACAAACACTGGCCAGAAATTAATCAAGAATCTAAGAGATGATAAGTACTTATATTCTTTAAAATTTTACACTCAGATGACTCCTAAGCAAAATTCTGGTTTGGTTATCATTAAACAGGATGTATCACTGGTTCTTTAATCAAACTCTCGATATTGCTGTCCAAGGTTTCAACTCTTTGGCCTTGATATTTTGGCATTTATGAAGTATCAATTTTTTCAACAACTATTTGTTGAACACCTACTATGCTAGAAGAACTGTCCTAAGTGGTAAAAAGAAGGGAGAAAAACACTACAAATTCTACGGGATTATGATGATGTTGAAGTGTGGCATGAAACAATTCATTACAATCCTTTTAATTTATGATCTTATAAAATCGATATTAGAAAAAGGTATCAATTCTTGTCTAATCATATGCAAACTGCAATTAAAAGGGTATTTTTTCCACAGTTAATGGAACTCACTAAATGCTCCTTCCCTCTCCCCATATCTGAAATTTATGAATTAAATCTGGACTCAGCTAGAAGAACTGAATCAAATGGAGAAGAGATTTCAGCTAATTGCTTCTTCAGCTGGTTAGACCCATATAACTGCTACTAAATTTATACCAGCAAACTCCTAACAGACAGTTTCAAAGGCTGGTTGACTCATGCATAACCCAGGGAACGTTTCAGGAAACCTTTGAGACAACAATGTGGAGCGCAATCACTTTTACTTCTATTTATAAACAGCCTGTCAAAAACAGCAAAACCCTAGTTCCAAGTGCCAAACGCCCATAGAAAACAGGGAGGTCATTCTGCCCCCTAGCTTAGCTGAGGTTAAAAACCTCACATTAGCAGGTGAAAAAATGACATTCTCAGAAGTCACCAGGAGACTGCCTTTTCAAAGGTGCCAGGAAGCCTTCCATTACTCCAAACATGACTTAATCTTTCTCTTTAAAATGGCATCTGCTCCTTACACGCTTACAGAGAATTTAGAGGACTGTCATTATTGTATCCAGTTTACAAAATGCCAACACGGGAAATTCCTTAGTGCTTTCAAAGGCACGATTTGACTATTTGAAACTGAATCTATGTATCCTTACCACAGCCAACACCAAAAGTTTAAAGCCTCATCCCTCTCAGTTCTGAAACAAATGTGCAACTACTGATTGCATTATCCTTTGTGAGCTGCTCTAACTTACGCTCAAGTAACTTAATGCCTAAGCCACAGCTTTGCACAAATAGCACTGCTGATCAGATGTTTTCTGTAGCATTAAAGAATGTAATTGACTTAATTTAACTGAATATCAGCAATCTGAAAACTCAGTAAAATTATGCAAGTGTTGGGGTGGGGTGAGGATGGAATATAAGCCTATTTAGTGGGTGTCTCCTCAGAACCATAAAGTTTCAGGAGAGCTGGAAAACCAGAATTTTATTATACTTAGAAAAACTAAATGCACCAATGGCAGCCCAAAACCTAGAAGGGCAGATGCAATGTGGACACTCTCACAGACCAGTTGGTGCTCAAATCTGCTGCCCATCACCCACATCCATACATCTTACTATCTAAAAATCATCTGATGCTTTGAAAAATAACAACACAGAGCTACAGCATGCTAAAGAAACTATTTTTAAGATTAAAACACATTTTATATTAAAATGACAGCCTATTTTCAAAAGCAATGAATATGGATATAAAAGAGCTCTTCAATATTTTACCTGCCAAATCTGCATATTCAGTGTGACTCTATCAAAGTCACTTTTGTAAGTTTTACTTCAACTACCCTCATAGTTTACTTGAAATAATGAAATAATGCAGGTATCTGGGCTTTTATTTTCTTTCTTACCAGAAATTCAAACTCAAAAGCTTGATATGACCTGCAGTTTACCCAACAAGTAGTCCTGGGGTTAGTCCAACTTTGTGTTGTCTGGATAGTAAATGTAATGCTTTGGGTTCTGTATCCTGACAATGGTGATTCAGACAAAATGATGGGAAACAGGAAGGTATATATATGACCAGATTCAAAGCCTAAACCAGTTCATTGTTTATATGCAATATTTTCAATCTACTTAACATATAGCCTGGAATATTAGTAACTACAGGGACTTGTCATAGTCATGGAAAATGAAATAGTTTCAGAATTTAAGTTACATTGACTGTTTTCTTTCACTTGTGATAAGTATATCACTAGACAGGGTAAATGATTTTTATTTACTGCTTTATGTTTGCTTATAATTCAAGGAAAGCCAACTCTAGTGTGTCATTTTATTTCATCTCATAAAAATTTCTGGTAGAAATTAAGTTTCATAGGAATATGACAGAATGTAGTTTGGACCATCTTTGCATGAAACATGCTAATGATGTCATTCCCTTTGTATTCCCCATTACCCTGGTGATGGTCAAGTCAGTTCAGTAACTCTCATTTTAGTGTGTGAGGCCATTTAAATATTTTTAAAATAATTTATATTGACTAGGATTTAGAGGAAGACAAATTTATGGTAGAAATTGTCCTTGCCTTTGTCTAAGTTAATTATGTGACCTGATCGAGTTATAATTTCGGAGTAGCCTCTTTGTTTGTTAGGCACTCCTTTCTTTTGCCTAACACTCCTTCTCCCAATGTTTTTATCTGATTTGGAACTATCTTAACAGTTATTAATTATCAATGGGTGGAAAGAAATTGTTTTAGAAAATGTCTCTTTAAAAATTATTTGGGAGCTTTTACCACCAGAGATCTTTATCAAGTCCTACTGCCGTGCTATTGAATCATTCAGTGATATTGATTAAATGAATATCCCTATTCCTCAAGAACCTAGTAGTCTGATGGAGTGGGGAGGGGATGGGGTGAGGCAGGACTTCAATACATGAGTCCACCAGTCACAGTCATGAATATGCACACCCATCACAGCCCTGTAGGACACAGACATGCACCATGCGCCAAGAATCCAAAAGAATGAGAAGGAAAACAATGAGAGTGAACTTTTAGCCTGCATGATACCAAATAGTGTCAATCTGGATACCTCAGGCAGAGAACTTCATTTTTTCATAAGCAAAAAGAAAAAAAATGTGGGGAGGGACGGACATGGCTAGCATGGGGAATATCCTGTCATTTAGATGGAAACTAGCAGGTAAGGATGAGGGCAGTAAGTTTGTTTAAAATTGGGTAGATGAGCAGCATGCAGCAGAAGTAAAAGGAGCTTGGGGAAAGGAGAAAAGCATTGAAAAAAATGGAAGCAAAATTATAGGGTGAAGAAGAGGGGGAAAAGGAAAAATTGAGAAAGAAGTAAAGAAATCATGGGAGGGGCTAATGAACTAAAAAAAAAACACACTTGAAACCAAAATTCATTCTTATTTTGAAAACAGGATTTAAAATTGAGTTAACTCTTCTGTTTTAAGCCTCCACTTCCCCTTTTCGTTTCCATTTTCAGTTTGATTACCATTTATTGTGGCGTAAGTGGGATAAAGTCGTCACAGATTCACAGGTGTTGCCAGAAGGTGCCGGATTCGTATTTGGTTGGTCTGGGCTCCACGGGGCTAATCTGTGTTCTTCCTTCCAAGGTGGATCGGATGTCCTTCCCCTGTGGCTGCACTAAAGAACGATGTAGCAACACAGCAGGTAGGATCGAATTTAATCCTATCCGTGTCCGGACTCATTTTTTGCACACAATAATGAAACTGGAACTGGAGAAAAACCGAGAGCAGCAAATCCCCACGCTGAACGGCTGCCACGGGGAGATAGGCGCCCACAGCAGTTCCATGGGCCCTGTCGCTCACTCCGTAGAATATTCGATTGCAGACAATTTTGAGATGGAAACGGAACCGCAGGCCGCCGTGCTGCACCTGCAGTCCGCTGAGGAATTCGATTGCCGCGGGGAGGACGGGGACGAGGACGAGGAGGATGGGAGCAGCTTCTGCAGTGGAGTCACTGACTCCAGCACTCAGAGCTTGGCGCCCAGTGAGTCAGACGAGGAGGAGGAGGAGGAGGAGGAGGAGGAGGAGG